AAGAAAAACCCCCCCCACCCACGGGAAAAAAAAAAGGGAAGGAAGAAAATTTTTTTCAAAAAAAAAGGTGAAACAAGCCCCAAATAATGGTTAATTTAGCAACAGGGGCACCCTTCCCGGCCTTGCTCGACGCGTCCCGCTCGCTCTTGTGATCTGAAGCACAAAAAAGTCACAACGAAGGGCATGTATCAACTCCCGCATGAAATCTACTACTGTATCTAGCCCGTGCCTGACTCTCCGTGTGCTACTAGCGGGATACAACGAGTAAAGAAAAGAAAAGCCAGCCCATCAATTAGTTGGTACCGCGCATGCGCAGTTCGCCGAGGATTTGCACTTTAATTAACCATGCTTCATGTATCCCATCCCTATCTTGTCTCCCTTTCTTTTTATACCTTACCTATATGCCTCTTTTTGCAGGATTTTAATTAATCTAATTGTAAATGCTATCGATCGTCGTTGTGTTTCGTCCGTTCTCTAGCGTACGTCAAAACTGGTATATACCAGTCGTGCTGGAATAGAACCGCGTTCAGATCGTCGTCATACCGTAATGTAATATTGTTGGTCGTGTGTTGTTTAGCAGGACGGTAGCCGTTCGATTGCGGACGTATAAGGGGGGGTGATTCATGCCATTAAGGAAGTGAGATACACTACTGCTTCTGGGTACTAAGTTGCAAAGTCAGAGGTCACACAAGTCAGAAGATTTCACTGTCCTTGAAGAAAGGAGGCGTGGCAGTTGTCTTGCGAATGATGGAATGAGTATGTTATTGCATTCAGACGACTGTAGGGACCCGCAAAAAATAGAGCAGCATGCCTTGAAATGTCCTACTGTACAGGGTTAGTTTTTGTGTGTTTATTATGCATACACACCACCCCTCAATTAGGGTACAAAGACAATAAGAAAATTCAGACTAGTGTGTTTAACTGAGATTTCTTGAAACTGTCGTTCAGTTTTAGGTATGAAGTGTCATTGTCCAACATTTGATAAAACTCTTTCACAAGAAGAGTGAATGTGGGCCTATTACCAGGACTGGTGGACCAACATGATGTCATCATCTCCCAACTGCATGGAGATGTGGCCAGTGCACGAAGGATTGTAGTTTGTTTGAAACTTACATTTCATCAGAGCACACAGCATTGCTAGGTCTGTCAAGTCTGTGACCAGAATTAAGTTCTCTCAAAAGAGACATGATGTGAATACCGGTATAGGGGACTCCACCGCATGTCATTACCTCCCAGCAAGTGACTCCAAATGACCACTACAATTACAACATAATAATATAGCAAACAGGATGCTAAAGTGTCAGTATATTATAGAGCTAGGGTAACTGGTAAGTCTTCTCTCACCACATCAGTTTTCTCATCGTAGAAATCGGCCTCAATGCTCTCTGGAGCCATCCACCTAATAGGAACCTTCTCCTCATGTCCTCCTGTCCCTCCCTCTCCTCCTTCTCCTCCCCCTCGACGGTAGTAGTTGGTGGCATACATGTCCTCCGTCAGACCAAAGTCTGCAACCTTGATCACTCCATTTTCATCTATCCTGTATACAAGTTAAGAGTCTGATTCACATTGAACTACTAAATGTAGGTATCACACACATGCATGCTAGATATGTATGACATCAGGCGGGTTTAAATTTCACTTACATGCAGTTTCTTGCTGCTAAATCTCGATGAACAAATTTATGCTTTGTGAGGTAGCTCATCCCATTAGCAATCTGGTGACAAACACCTAAAGATGCGATCCTTGCCGACTCAACCTTTCATATATAGGGAGACAGAAACCCATTCAACTTCGCTATTTTTATAGCTTTTCAAAACACACCTGCTTTTTATCAGCAGACCGGCCGAAATAGAGAGTCTCTCTGTTTTGCTTGATATAGTTCAAGACAGTGCCATTAATCATAAATGGCATAATGAGCAGGGGCACCTCCCCATCCAAACACAGTCCAATAAGTGACATGACATTCTTGTGACTGAAGGACAGCATAACACAAACCTCCTTCAGAAGCTTCTCCTTATCAGTGGGTGATGCCAGAGCTGCAAGGTATTATTTCAACATTAACGTAGATACTAGCATGCGCCTACCTTTGCCAGTTTTAACAGCTACCAGTTCCCTTCCTCCACTACTGTTGATGTATCCACGGTAGACTAGACCTGATTCTCCTGAATAACAAAAACATCATCCATAGAATTGTTCTCCATGGTGCATGTTGGTCAAGAGAATTAATTAATCATTAGACCAGTCCTTCTAATACCTTGTCCGACAACCTTGCTAAGCTCAAGGTGATGCTTCTGGAAAAGCATGTGTTTGCAGCTGAGTTCTTGCTGAAGATGTTCAGTGAGAGTTAATGGATAAGGTTGCTGCTGCAACTGAGATGAACCGGTATCTCCCGCTGCAATGTTTTGACTAACCAACTCAATACTATCCTACGGTGTTTTGCTTACAAGTGGTTGAAGTGTGATGCCCTGGAAAAGAATGCTCGCTGGTATCAGCAGGTAAAGTCTCTGCATTCCTGGTCGACTTTTCATAACATAGTCATAACAATGCACTATTTTTATGCTTACATAGGTGGTTCATGTTTCTTTGCTTTCATTTTCCTTCTTTGCCAACAATATACTCCAAAAATCAGCACCATTATAATAGATGCGAGTACTGTTGCTACTGTGGTTGTGATTATCACAACATCATACGTTGCACCACCATGGAACTTTGGAGAACTCATCCATGAAGAATTATTGGCAACTAAAATGAATGTATATACAATTAGAGTCAAAACTGTATGCTAATTAAATGCTATACTTTATACTACAAACGTACTATACAGTGGAACCTCTGAACAAGGGACACTATGGGGCCAAAAGGTTTGTCCCTTTTAGAGAGATCATCCCTATCGTGGAGATCAATTGGTTGAAGCAAGTGTAGTTATATATAGAGAGGTCATGCATCCCTGTCTTGGAGGGTCCCTTATCGGAGGTTCCACTTTCACTGCATCAAGTACAACCATCATATTATCTGAATCACTTTTCCTCAGTTTTGCTTACAAAGTTTAGTGACAGAGTTTCTTGATGTTTTTTGGGAAAAGCAGGCTGTCGACACTGCTACAAATCTTATGACAGTTTCAGTGAAAACAAAGAAACCTGACAAAGTCATGCTGTGCTGTCCTCAGTGGGATACTCTGATATATTTATTATGGCTATAGCTACAACCTATCACACGCCATAGTTACACAATGAACAAGTAGATTTTACTATATCGCCTTTTACCATTAAAAAGTCAAGCAGGTTTGTAATGTTATGTGTTTGTATAATACATCTCGTAAGGGAATTAGAAGAACTCACGGCTGCAGTAGAATTGTTCATTTGACCAATTCCCGTTTGGCAGGCAAGTACGAGACATGTCACTAGCACCCGTAGGTGAGTAGTGCTGATCATCACAGTGGTAAATCACCAGGGTTGCATTCCTGGATCTAATCGTACCATTCACTAACTCTGGAGGATCGCCACAGTCTGTTTTAACTGCACATCGTAAACAAAATTTGTAACGGTTAGCTATGAACGTGCTGCTTGTATGGATTTAGTTGCACATTGCACCTGTTGACATATTAGTGACGATCAGAATTGTTAGTTTTCGTGATGTTTTTGTCAAACTCTGAACGGAAGGAAGGATCATCTAAAAAACACACGGGCAATATTTTGTTTCAGGACACACTGCACTTGATGTCTGTCTACACAAATTGAGCATTCCAACCTAAAGGGTATGATAGTATGTAGCTGACTAACATGTGACTGAAAGGCTCTGGGTACATATGTCGCATTGAAAGCCACAAGACTTTTTCCCAAATTGCCTTTTGGATGATCAAACATTACATATATGTAGCTAAACCGTGTGCACATATTATGTAAGTTAAATGTAAATCTGGTGGGTTATGTGAGAATGTTGCTATGGCGATGCTTGATTGTGTCGCACGCGGACACACAAACACATTCACACAAAATAACAAACCCTCGGCAAACTGCGCATGCGCAGTACCGTTATTTGATGGAGTGGGGGCTATAAGGCGTACGTTTACTCATCTCGCGCTGAGAGAGTCTCTAGCGACAGTATATAGTAGATAGCATGCGTGAGTCGATACGCGCCCTTCGTTGTGACTTCTTGTGCTTCAAGATACACAGAGCCAGCGGACCAGTCGGGGTAAGCAGGGTGTGCACAGAAAGTGTGTGTTGTTTCGATGTGACTCACTGCTAGTAGCAGTTGGAGTAGGACCGTTTCTAATCTCCAGAGTGGCACTTTTTATGACATCACAAGGGCCCCGAGGGAGCAAGACACAATCTCCCCGAAACTCTTCCGGAACGACGTTCTGCAGAATACACTCAACAACGTGGCTCCTAACACCCAAAGCCGTGGTGTTTTCTATTTGGAGCACACTGGAAGTTTCATTATTCATGTAGCATGGAATGTTTTCCGAGCTTGCACCACAAGTGAACATCTCACCGTCAACCTTCCAACTGATTGAAAAGGAGGTGTCTTGTTTTAGAGCGTTGCAGACAAAGGTAGCCGGTTCTCCAGTAGCTACTGATACATCTCCAATCTCACCACTCAGGGTGGACAATACTGTAGAGAAAGTGTGAGTATGATAATGCAGAGAAAGGACAGAACTACAGTGGGACCTCCGAATAATGAAAATGTTGGGACAGAATTTTTTTTCATTATTCGGAGGTTTTCTTTATTGAGAGGTATGTGTACATAATGGTAAAGCCAGTTGGTACATGGGAATAAGTTCATTATAGCTGTTGGGGAGTTCATTATCGGAGGTTCCACTGTACTGCATTCTCACCTCTCTTATGAACAACAACTATAGGTGTTTCGTAATCCTCATCTTCCATGCTGCTGTGATCGATGCTAACAATACACCGGTACTCAGAAGGAATTGATGACATCTCTGTCGTTTCAGTCACTGTTATATTGAATGTATCGTCACTGTAAGAAGTAGGAGTAGGTTTTACTCTACGCCACGATACTTGATAGTTTTCTGTTAGAGCTCCAGGTTGAATGGCACAGGAAAGGTTGACTTTCCGCATGCTCTCGAGTGACGGGAATAGGATGTAGTGGGGCATCATTGGTGTATTGTAGGTGGCTGGTGGTGAGGCTGCGAGAATAGAGTGCAAGCAGTAAGTAAAGGGAAGCATAGAGCATTAATTCTTACGAGCCACACACACTATACTAACCACTGTAGTACTGCCATAATGTACTGTACCTGAAAGTTTCTCTACATTAGACTCTTCGTCATGTTTTGTCGTGCACTTGTAACTGCCCTCTTGGGCCTGGTTGAAGACGAACGAGATGCTAACGTCCGTACTCGCCGTTACGGTCACCAGATCAGATGGAGAGGTGATTTCTAATTCTCCTCTCCAAAACCTGGCTGGTCTTTGGCTTTGCGTAAGGCCGTCAATAACACTGCTCTTGCAGGTCAAGGTAACATAGTTGTAGTTGCCAGTCTGCGGGTAGTCTACTTCCAGCAATATCGCCTCCACATCCAACAAGACAAGCAGACACGCCAGTCCTACTACCGCCCAGCGAGCACTTCCCGCCATAACACCCCCTCAGCGACAACACGAAATTTTGCACTCGGTCCTCTCCAACACGCAACTCACATCCACGCAGGCGTCGAAAGGATTGGCGAGCGGGAGCGAGCGGAGCCAACCCAGTCTTTCGTTCGAGCGGATTTTTTCCCCGTACGTCGTGTGAGTGCGCATGCGCGGCTTTGTACGCGCTTAAGCCTCGCCTATCGATTTCTAGCCAGCTAGCCAGCTAGAGAACTCTCCTCCATTCGACGGCATGCGCTGCAACCTTCGGTGACTGACCGAGGCTGTACCTCTTCCCAATCTTCATGGTTCCAAGGTGCAACTTGCAAATACGCTGGGATTGCTCGTGCACGCTGCATGCCAGCTGCTTGGTGGACCACGACTGACGAGCTGAAAGCGTAAGGTAAGTATATACCGTTCTGCTCACCTGCTCACCGTTCTGCCAATGTACAATACCCATGTAACGGCGACAGGTAGATCTGTCTTGCTTCACGAAAGGAAAGCCGTGCGCTGACGGCACGTTATGCATCACGGGCAAATCGGGTCGCTCCCGCTCGCCAACAATGTTCATTTCCACTAGTTCCACGGCGGGTTCTCCCCAGAGAGGGGAGGAGGTCGGGACATGCGCAGGGATGGTGTCATAGAGTATAAGGTAAATGGGGGTAAGGTAACTTCGGACATGGGGCATTGCACCCGGGGCCTCGAAATTATGCGCTGCGAAAAAAACGCGAGGAAGATTTGTCAAGTGAAATACTGCCGAATCTTTCTCTTGTTTCTGAATAGCGAGTTATGTCCGGGTATTACCCCGTGTCCGAAGTTACCCCCATTTACTTTACATCAGTTATGAGCGAGACACGGGGGTATTATGACATTTTCACAAATCATACCTTCCAGCAATCAGTCAACAAATAGCGTCAATTTTTACAGACTTGCCGCGTTTGTGTGTGACGATTGAGCTAACTCTGCGCCCATCGCACCACACGACGCAGTCCACGTGTACGCCAAAATAACCACGCAGCTGCTGCACTTATTAATTATTATGTTTCACATAAGTTTGAGTTGTTTGGAAGGTGGTGGTTCAATCTCTTCTTCCTCTGGGTGTAATCCTGGAATCACTGGACTAACGAGATACAGTTTCAGTTTGGACTGCTGGATGCTGGACCTCTCCACCTCGAGTCTAACAGTCACCCGGTCAAACAGACGGAACACCACACCCTCCACCGCTAGAGTCGGCTTCTCATTGTCGTGAGTGAGGGAGAGTTTCGATCCAGTCTCACTCGCTGACTCCCCATCGAAAAAGACCATCCCCTCAACGCCATACTTGGGAATGAGGACTTGCAGAGCGTTGCGGTGGACAAACAGAACGAACCCCTCCTCTACCAGACTCTTTTCCCGGAAGAAAATCTCGGTGTGCAGGCGGATCGAGGCTCTGGCGGCGTACTGCGCCATCTTGTGGCGGTGATTGAGGTGGTTGGACAGTTTCTGGGTCTTGTGCTTTTCCAGGAGGTCGGGGTACGTCTGGTCGGCTTTAACGGCCACGGCAAGAAGTCGGTGGACAATCAGGTCAGAGTAGCGACGGATCGGGGAGGTGAAATGGGTGTAGATTGGCATGGCAAGACCGTAGTGGTGGTATTCTTCGGGAGGGAGTGTGCCTGAGCAGAAGTAGACAGCCTGCATCATACAGCGCGTGGCCATGATCCTGAGCATGGTGTTAAAGTATGGGTGGTCGGGTAAATTTGCCTCTTCAAGGGAGTTAGCCAGCGCTTTTGCACTCTCGACGTGGATGGGGATGTCCCTGGCTTTCCCGGCCTTGACGAGGATGTCGTAGTTGGAGAGAGGAGGTTCAGGGTGCCTGCGGAGAAGAGCACAGTGTGGGAAATGCTGGTGAATGTGCTGAGCCACAGATATGTTTGCCAGCAACATGAACTCCTCCACCAGTGAGTTTGTCTCCCTCAGTTCCTTCGTCTGGAGGTCAACGGGGTCGTGGGTCTCGCTGTCCACTTCGAAACGGACCTCTGGCGAGGCAAGCGTGAGGGCTCCCTTCCCAACGCGGCCCTGTTTGAGGATCTTGGCCAGCCGGTTTAGTTGACGCAGACTCACCGTGACGAGGTCACTCCGTGTCGGGTCGTCTATCCTCATCTGGGCTTCGGCATAGGTGAGGGCAGCTCGAGAGCGGATGACACTCTTTGTAAACTGAGTGGATAAGATGGAGGCATCCGGAGCCATCTCCCAGAGGACGGAGAAGGCAAACCTCTCCTCACCACCTCGCAGAGAGCAGAGGTTTGAGCTGAGGAGCTCGGGGACCATGTCGATCCTCGTGTCTGCCAGGTACACCGTCGTCCCTCGGTCGCTCGCCTCTCGATCGAGTGCCATCCCCGGCCGAATGAAGTGAGACACATCGGCTATGTGAACCCCGACCTCCAGAGTCCCATCCTCTTTCTCCCGGCAGTGGAGGGCATCGTCGATGTCGGTACACCCGGGTGGATCCACGCTGCACACATCCAGATGTCGCAGGTCCCGGCGCTGTTTCAGGTCGTCGTCTGTGATGCTCCATGGGAGGCGGGGAAGGTCGGCCATCACGTCCTGCGAGAAGGACTGGTGAGGGACCTCGTGCTCCAGGAGAAGGACTTCGTTCTCCGTGGCCTTGTCCCCGATCTCCCCGAGCTCCCTCACAAAGTGTCCACAGGGGAACCGGGAAGCCCTCGGCCACGTATCGATGCTGACTACTATTCTCTTCCCGAGGAGACTGGGGGCCTGTCTCGTCTCTAGACGGACTCGGGGTATGCGACGTTCAGTGGGAACAAACGTGTGTCGGATCCCCTTCATGCTCGTGAGAGGGAGGAGAGTTCCGCAGTACGGCCGCCAGTTTCTCCTAATAATGCCCACCACCTTTCCCGTTGGCTGAAGCAGAGACGGATCCACTGTCTTGTGAGTGGTCTTCCCTTCACTCCCACCCTCTTCATCCTCCACCTCTTTCTCTCCCTTCTCAACTTGGTCCTCTGCGTCCTTCATCACCAGGCCAGATGGACAGGACCACTCGGACTCAGGCAGCATCTCGACTGCCACCGTGTCTTCGTGCACGGCTCGATTGAGGTTCTGCAGTCCTTGAACAAACACCCACTTCTCCATCGAGGATACATTCACGTGACCCTCGAGGTAATTCTGCCGAGAGCCTTGAAACGTTCCCTGCAAGTATTTACCACTCTTTATTCCGGTCTGGATCACGGAGAGAGGCAGGTGCTCTGGAAACAGGATTTTCCCCTTCTTGCGGCCATTCTCTGCTGCCTCTCCAGGATTAGCCAGACGGTCCACTAGGCCCGGGCTATTCACCAGAGACTGGACATACTCGAGGGCAGTGAATGCAGGCAGGCCAAGGTCCCTGGCCTTCTGTCGATTCTCGCTGTCGTTTGTGATCAGAACGACCTTAGTCCGCTCTCCCCTGCCCTCTTTCCCTTCCCTGTCCACACCACCCTCCTGCAAGTGTCTGTTATACCACTGCACGGCTGTACGTATGGCTCTGTCATTGCGATCATTGGCCGACTCTCCTGCCCGTATCTCTACAAAGGTTTCTCGGTGATGCTCATTTGAAAAGACAAAGAACTTTTTGGAAGAGTCTGCGATCATGCCCCTCAGACGTTTGTGAGCACTCACATTCTGATGCTTGACCTGAGAAACGTACACAACTCAAGGTAATAGTGCTGAAAGCATAAAGTTGACTTCTAGCTCACTTCTTGCAAAACCGTCTGCACAATGATGACGTTGGTAACGGATGCATCCTCCAGGAAGTCCGTTTGGTGCAACACGACGTTCGTGTCAGGAACGAGGAGGTGAGGATAGCTGCAAAGCTCGGACGCCACCGTCGGACAGGCATCAAGGACGGGGGCTTGCTGCTTGCACAGCCTGCAGCGAGCCACTCCACACCACACGTCGTCTCGCAGGTAGTGCTCCCGCACCACCTTCACCACGGCGCCTTTCTTCGTCTTCTTCACAAACGTTTTCGAAGCCAACATGTTCGTTCACATGCATAAGGTGGGCTCCAAATGGAGTGGAACTAGCCCCGCCTACTTGTGAAACTGTAGCTTCAGGTCGATGATGGAGGGTGATAGCCAGAGCTTATCTTCAGGTATTTCTCCTCTTTACAGCAGTGGCCGCGCTCACTAGTTGTTTGTCTACGCTATGTTTCAGTGGGCAGTGATCTAAACCTTCTGGGATCAGCAACATACGAGTTTCAGCATCAGGACATCCACTCCTCTTGCCCGGAGAAGATCGTGAGTCGCTCTCCTGGATACCTCTTAGAGCGGTGTATGTCTAATATGACTATGTATAGATCATATGTGTGGACCTGGCCCAAGAAGTGGAGACAATCCCTGTCAAATCCCAGTCAAAGTAAGCCTGTACGTCGATCCTTGGAGAGACAAGCTGAATCTGTACGATAATATCTCACACATTAGGCATTTCATATTGTATTTGTATTCAGGGGAACTAGTGTGTCTCTACTGACTTGCCTCAAGAATGCCCTAAGACTGTTTGTCTACAACAAGACACTAATGAACTCTGAGCATGAGTTTGCTCTGGTGGTACTCACCAGTGAGGCAAACTGGGTGAGCCCTCTAGCATGCAGTGGACTATCGACACTTCATTCACTCTTTCTACTGTGCAGTTCTGCAACTTCAACAGTGACCCTGCTCTGGTGTGCCAGGCCATCAATGACTTGGAGGCAGTTCAAGAGAACTTCGAATCGTTCGGTAAACCCCCCTATATCATTGGACTTTTGGTGCAATCTCTCCTTATCATTGACAGACACAGCATCACTGTACTCTATCATGTGAGTTACTGCTATATAGGTAGTAAATGAGTCCAAGCGATGCATTATATTCCCTGCGAGAAAGCTGGTGGTGTATACCATTCTGCTAGATTACATCGTTCGCATCGTGTTGACATGGCGGCCAACAAGTAAAGGCACTCTTTGTACTACTGTAGCAGTATACCATAGCACTACTGGTTCTGTCTCTCTTGCTGGATTTTGTTTCCAAGTGTGGTATATATAAAAGCAAGGGTGTGTTCTGGAAAAGCTGTGGTAAATACTCTGTCCTTCAGCTATGAGAACTGCCCTCCTCCCCCTGTACCGGAGTCCCCTCTCCTGTCTCCTCCCTACGTGGTCCGCACCATCCTCATCTACACTCGCTCTCACAGCATGCCTGTCTACAGAGGAGACCCCGCAGTGAGTCTGCCATATACTGTATAGCTGGTATAAGTAAAAGACACCTCCATACAAAGACACTGGTTCTGCCGCACACTGATATTGTACATAGTGTATTATCTCCATACAAGAGATGACTTTGAATAAGGACTTTTGAATCTTTTGATGCACCCAAGGTTCCCTTGCTCAGATGTTTCACCGTACACACTATCTATCTATATACCTATATAGGCCCACGATGCACTAACAATGTCTCCATACTTCTTCCTGGATGTGCTGTATGCCCACGAACCTCCTGGAATATCCAACATGTGTGAAGTAAGTCGGTCTGTTTTAGAACCAGTTTTAAACTGCCCAATCAATGCACCTTGTCTGTCGCTAAGTACAGTGGTGATATGACACAGGTTATCCAGCATCATGCCCATACATTTGAGATTTTCACGTTTCACTGCGTAGGGGATATTTGATATTCTGGCGGAGATGTACCCGCTACCCAAGGCCCTGGTTCTAGACTGGTCCCACAACATCACCCTCCTCTTCAACTGTTTTGCCAAACTCCTGGCCCACCCACTCCAGAGACCGGTGCAGATCAAGATGGACCACAAACTGGACAGCTAGCAGTCACTCTCTTTTGTCTGTGTGTTGCTTTTATAATGCATTCTCCTTGCCATACTGCACATGCCGGTCACGCTGTTCTGCCAAAAGGAGCCGCCCATGCAGAAAGCAAGGGTATTTGTGCTCAGAAAGGTGCCACCGTCGCCACGGATGTACAAATGTATCCCACCAAAAAGGTGTCACCATAGAAGTTGACACTAAAGAAGATAATTCCAAGAAAGTGACTGCCATCACTCCAGAACCATGGCTCAAGGTCGGTGGGATCAAGCTTAATCTAAATCACCAAAAAATCATCACTGTGGGTTGATGTTGAAATTATCACTGCCAGCCAAAACCTGCTGCATAGCCAACACCCAGAAATCTGTTCTCTGCAGCCACCATTTCTGGCCACACAGCTTGTCATGGAGCCACAAGGTGGAGAGTTTGTACAAATTGTCAACATCCACGGAAACCATTGGATTACACCCTCGAATGTTGGCTGCAAACCAGGCCATATTAATGTGTACGACAGTCTACACATGGGAATATCGAAAGAGGCGAAAGAACTATTGCCGATCTTCTGCAGTACCAAGAGGATACCATCATCATCAACTATATACTGCGACATACAATGGCAGAGTGGCGGCAATGACTGTGGACTTTTTTCCATAGCATTTGCCACAGCCATATGTGCAGGGAGCAGTCCAGTTTCAAAAATGTATGATCAGAGCAAGATGTGGCAGCATCTTGTGCAATGCTTCGAGGGTGGGGTCCTAACTCAATTTCCAGGGCGATCTTGCAAGAGGGTGATAAAAGCCCCCGCCAGGAGAAGTTACCGATTCACTGCATTTGCAGGCTTCCCTACAAAGGAGAAAATGGTGCAGTGTGAGAAGTGTAACAAGTGGTTTCACCCTGACTGTGCCAAAATACAGAAAAAATATCTTAGTCACTACTACTGTAAATTGTGTTAAACCACACCCTGCTGTTTGTAGTTATATTTTACAATTCATAATCCTTTGAGTGACTTAGTAGAACTAACTGCGCATAATTATGTTTACCCTTGTGAGTCCCAAGGCTCCCTCCTCTGGCCCTGAACCTTTGGCCGCGTCCAGCCCTTCAACGAACAGTACTAATCTCATACTCTTTCCAGTCCGCTGGTGCAACTCCAAACAAGGCTGTCATTGCATTCTGTAACATTGAAATCCCCCTCAATACTGCACAGAACCTCAAAACAACAGACCACCTGCGTTTTTACACTCCTAATAACGCACAGCACGGGCAAATATCGGGGGTGCGGATAGAATATCCTACGAAATTAATTTTTTACAAGTAAATTAAACATCCTGCGAATTTAAAGAAGGGGCATAATTATAGGGTTGGTATAAAAAGAAAGGGAGACAAGATAGGGATTTGATACATGAAGCATGGTTAATGAACAGATTTGAGTACGCTGACACCCCCAACCACATCACACCATCCCTATATTGTTGCCTGGTGTGCTACTCTTATAGGGGCTAAAGGTTCTTTCACCGTGTCCCTGTTGTTTTTAGTAACATTTATACTGCCACATTCCCTTAATTAAACTCCACTTGACTCTAAAAGAGGCGTTGGTCATACTACTTTTGTTTTTTTTTTTTTTTTATTGTCTTTTTACTTTACTTGTTTTTCTTTTGTTTCTTTTTTCCTTTTATTATCGGTTTCCTTTATCTTTTTTTTTGGTTTGGTACGTATTTTTTATTTTTGTTTACGTTTTACCACTTTTTTTGTTTGTGTTTTTTATTGTTATACTGTTGTGTTTTTTTTTTTTACTATTTGTTTTATTCTTTGTTTTACTCAGTGTGTATTGTAGTTCTGAGTATTGTAATGGTGAATGTTTAATACTTCACCTAGGCAACAATATAGGGATTGTGTTCGATTGGGGCACAACCCAAAAATGGGGTAAATTGGC